TATTATTAAATATGATCTGTCATTGTATTGGGAAATAATCTTAAAAATTTTCCTAGTATCCATCCTTATATATATATATATATATATATATATATATATATATATATATATAAAGTTCATAGAATGTAAGGTTTAGATTTCTTATTTATTTAAAAGCAATTTTTCATTTCCCTTTTGTTTACACTTAAAAGCCATGTAATATTATAACAGATATACCTAATAATGTGCACTTAATCCCATGTAGATAGATTTGTATCATTATAAATTATATATCTATATTATCAGAATAAATAGTAACAAACGTTGGTGTAGGGAAATAAGGTATTGTATTATTTGCCATAACTACTACTATTTATATACATATACATATTTATAGCATTGTAATTAATATTAGTCTGGTTTTCTTTGTCGTTCACACGAATTAGCATGTATTTCTTTTCTTTTTCTTATAGAATATGAATATGATTTTACAGTTTAGAACAAACCAATGATCCAAGGTATACCAAGAAATGATCTTGGGATAGATAAGAAACACAGAGAGAAAGAGAGATAGAAAAAAAATCACAATGAAAACCCCCAGAATTTTTTTTAAAAAAAAAACGTTAAAATACTTTATTTTTTAAGAAAAAATGAAACAATGATTTCATTACTAGAGTAATTTGAAATAATTAATGTATAGATATAATACTGAATAGCTAGACGTAATCAATAGGACAGTTCTAACTGAATTTCTTAATTCATTTTGGTTTTTGGGCATTTAAGAATAAGAAATAGCTTCTAGAAAACTATATCAATTATCTATTAGCATGACGCCAGTGTGCTAATATAATATAAAGGTGTACTATTGAACATTAAAACATCATTGCATGATTGAACAGTTAGCAAGAGAAATATGTTTCTGAAGTAGTAGTGGTAGTAGTAGTAGCGGTAGTAGTAGTGGTAGTAGTAGTAGTAGTAGTAGTAGTAGTAGTAGTAGTAGTAGAAAAACCTAATAAGAAAAATTACTCACATTTATAATAATGAAAACAACTCGAATAGTTTTATGTCTGAGTTTTATATCGTCTGATATTTATTTATTTTTTTGGAGGAAGGAATTGTAGTGATTTATAATAGGTGGGTTGTGTTTAACAGTAGAATCCGGAAGGCAAAATTAATCCTGTTCAGGACTTGTCAACTGGATGTACAATTGTCTTAGCGGTAATGCTTACACTAGGACTCAAGCATAGTACTTTTACTTCAACTACTCCAAGTCCTAATGATTGAGTCACGATATCAAGTTACTCGCCATCTTGTTTACACTGTCTTAGTCCTCCCATCTTTCGAATCGCTTTTCAAAACTCTCATTTGTATCACTAAATAATTATATACAATATATTAATACTCAGTATCATCCTATGATATCATGTCTGTCTCAGTAAAAACGTGGCATCAGTCCCTGATTTCACTAACTTCTGGTATGAGGCATGTTGGTAGATGCAAACTACATAGTTGAGGTCCGCATGACTATCGCAACCAATGGTTGTAGACTCTGGATGACATGGCCTCGAATCGATCACAATCCCATTGGTGTATAAATTTTTTGTCTTCCTTTAAACTATGAGATTAAAATTGTTCTATATCTTTCTTTCTACCAATTAATTCTTTCTTCCTGTACTATACCTTTATACACAATCTTTCTTTTATATATTACTGCAATTGAAGTGAAGCACTTCTATGAATTCTGTGATCATCTTGTTGTGCTAATAAGGTGTGGAAACTTGTACCGATGTATATATGTGCCTGGTCCTACGTTGTTGCTGACTGACTGGTAAAACGTGTTTCTACGAACATGGTTTAAAAACGCTACCTTGGTTGTGTAAAGTATTGATCAGAAAGTAGTTCTGTAAGCTTTGAAGATTGATGTTCTGAATATTTCAATTAAAATGTCTTATGTATCATTAGATAAGTTAACGAATAACTGAAACTTAGTTATGAAACCCACTTTAAATAACTTTTATGGTTTGTACTAAAGTAAGAAAATTACATATGAATGCAACTGACTCATTCAGTTCAATTTTTTTTTTATTACATTTACTGAAACGAAATAGATATACATGCAATCACAATAGTCCCATAACGTATATCCTAAAATTTCAAACAAGATAAAAAAGAAATTACAAGATAACCTTAATCCAGTGCATTACATAACCATTTGTAATACATACTACCAGAGAAGAATAATTACAGAATCCGTGCTAGTCTACAGGAATTGTCAGCTTGATATGAATGGTAACATTAAATGTAGGGAAAACAATATGTGATATAAGATTGTTTTAAGTTTACTAATCCAAAAACTGTATTATAGCAATGAATTTCATCAGCTGGGAACTTTTAATTCTTCTTTAGTGGACATCCTGTTGATGTATGAATGATGCATCTAAGGTAATTTCTTACGCCATAACGAATTTATTATAACTATGTTTAACTAGAGAAAATAAGGCAGAAACAGAAAGCATGGTATAAAAAAGCAATTATTATTATGATAGGTTAGTTAAGTCTACTATAATACATATGTCAGGTTATTTTCTGATCTACTATTTGTGTTAGATATTATCCAAATTAGTTAAGGTTACTAGGGATGATATTAGTGTAAAGTAACAGCAGGTAAGTGGTTTTACTTAGTGGATTCAGTAATATGAATGGCTAGACATTTAAAGTTCCTATGATATCACTTGTGGAATAAGACACACTTACAGGTTTTAGAACAATTAATGCAATATATTTGCTTAATTATGACTCTCATTCAAAGCTTGATACATCAAATGTTTTTAAGCTTTCTTTCAATATCAATAACTTGAATGAGCTGTCGTCAGGTAGCCTCAATAAGTTGATCTATTAAGTATATATTTGGTTAGCTTTGATTTGTTGAAATACATTGTTTAAAGTCTTCATGTCGTTAAAACTATTTTCTTTGAAGAATAGTTTTGATATAATGTTTCAATTTATAATTTAATAACATCTCAAATATTGACTAGTTGTGGAAATAAGAATAAACATTTCATTTTAACCATAGATTTAATGGTTTCACAGTGTTCATATACATAATAAAACTAGAATATGGTACCCACCACTTAAAACCCTATATGATTCATACGTAAAACTATGGGATTCCATAAGACAATACAAGTTTTACTCGTGAAAAAATAACTTATTTACAAAAATCTTCAATAGAATATGTAGAACGTAGCTGGCAATCTAAGTCAGTATACTTGTTTTGTCCTATTTAGAACTGATCAGCTGGATGTACATGTATTGTGGACTGGACAACAACTCTGAGTATATTCAGTTGATAGTTCACAAGCAAAACCAAATGAACCCCACATTATATTTATTGTATGTAAACTTGTGATATAATAATTATTTTGATGCAATCAGACAGAATGTACATAAAACAACAAAGACTGGTTACAATATAAAAACTTTTCACAACAGGATAAACCAAACTATCTTAGATTGTTGTTTGAGATCATGAACCGATTTATTTTAGATTAAAGTGAAATGAAACGTAGCAATCTAAATAACCCAAACGTTTTATACTACATAAATTAAAATTTATCTAACAGTTGAATTCATGGGTCAAATAAAGCTAGATCATTATGGTAAACCTGGAGGCACCAGACGACCAATTCGAACTAGTGTGAAAATTCTCCTCAATGCACAACTACGACCCCTCTCGCCGGGTTCGAACCAAGAACCTTCAATCTCACTTACAAACGCTTAACCTCTAGATCATTGAGTCGGCATCACACAGTGTTCATGTCTAACTTCAACCAATGAACTCATGAATTCAACTATTACATTACTACAATCTTTACAAAAACCCCACCTTTCTAATAAAAGTTTATTTGTATCAGAAAAGGTTTTGTGGAGATTTTAGTAATTTCAATAGTTCAGATCATGAGCCAATCTAAGCTAGACTACAATGGAAAACCTGGAAGCGCTGAATGGCCGTATCCTCCTCCCAGGTTTTCCATGGTAATTGATTTTATACACAATTTCTATTTAGGAAGATTTCAAGTTATCTAGTAAGTCGACAAAATTAACGATATACAAAATACTGTCCTGTAATTTCTCTTCAATAATAACGATCAATTTCTGTAGAATTTAATTAATATCAATGAAAAAACTATGTCCAGCGTTTCTCCTAATTCTAAAAGATCGAATTTTGAAATTGGATAATCAGACGTAGTTCACAATTTACTATATAACTTAGTTTCTGATGGTTTCCTGTACTCATCAAGGAATATAGGGTGAATTCAACATCACAATCCATTTTACAAATGATTTTTGTTTATTCAACGTATAGGTGGATTACAACCATTTGGCATAGTGACTAAACCTCGAAAAGAAATAATAACAATTCAACTGTTCTATCACCCAAATTTATATTTCACTTTTATACTACCATAATGAATATTACAAACATTTCATCATGTATAAATGGTTACTCATAAATCGAAAATCTTTATGATGTCTCATGCTAATAAGAACAATTAACCGCAGTTCTAGTTCTGTTTCGTTGCATTTTAAATAAAAAGAATAATGTTTATATTCAAAATAACAAATTATATCTGATATTGATCAAAACATGCTCACTAGTGACGGTCTCCAAGAGGTATTTTTAACCCGGAATTCTAGTGAGAAGCATTGAACAGTGGATTTCAACTGGGTCAGTTGTGGAAAGTAACTCACTGATGACAATGGTGGATGTGTCGCTGAATTTCGTGGATTGATTGAAGTTAGACAATAACATCGTTGGATACTGTCCGGCTCAGTGGTCTAGTGGTTAAACACTAGCTCGAGAGACTGATAGGTTCTGGGTTCGAATCTCGTGAGGTGGAATCGTGGATGCGCACCGCTGAGATGTCCCATAATAGAAAGAAGCGGCTGTCATCGAAAATTTTATTTATTTACAATTCTTACTATTCATTCATTTATTGTTTTATTTTAATTATTTCTAGATCAATTAATTGAAAGTCTTGAATTATTAAAAATTCAATTAAATCAAACATTTTGTTCATATGAATTCATTATAAATAATAATTCAAATGAGAATTCTACAAATTATACATGGAATTGTTGGTATCATATTATGGAATTAATATCAAAATTTCGTTTAATATTAGAACAATCATTTTTAACACAAGATGATATTATATTAGATTTAATGTTTCCAGTTGATAATTATTTAATGCAATCATTATTAGAAACATCATGTCAAACTTATATGACCGATTCAAAGAATATACAAGCTGAAGAATTAGATGAAAAAATTAAGTAAGTTGACTTTTATAATAATGAATGAATTTGTATGTATATGATGATGATAATGATGATGACGATGATGATGATTTGAAGAAGTGAATAAATAGCTTGAAAACTAAAAAATCATGAGGTATTACACAACACATAGAATTAAACTTAGAACATGAATTCCTAGCAAAATTCTTGACCATTAAATGTTGTTTAATTTAGAGATAGTTAATTTTAGAAAATAATGGATTATCTTTTTTCTTAACAATAATTTACGGATGAACTTTGATCGACGCCGAGGTGACCTTGAGAGTATCTACCTACTTATAGGGCTAAATGAAGGTTATAAAGAAGTTTGAAGAATAAAGACAATGATTTACAGTTGATGGTAAGGGTTAGGAATTAGATTTATGGTTTTAATCATAAACTGACATCAGCTAAAATGCCAAGACGCTATTTGGACGAATTCTAAATCTGATTGGTCCGTTCATAAATTATAGTCTCGCCAATCAAAGCTTGATTATTTATTATGACTGGACTCCATAGTTAGTTTTTATGTATTTTGTGTGACCTGCTTGAATATCTGGGCTACCTGTTCTTGCCATTTGGACATTTGAACAAATTATCTTTTTTGCTTATTCGTTTTAACACATCATTATGCCAATTAGTTTTATAACCTATCCATGTGCGTTTACAACATTTCGCTATACAAGTAACAAAATAGCCCAATCAGAGATATTGCGGTTGCTGACTATCTGCATTGAAAAAAATATACATTATTCAGACGTCAATTGCTGAGCTGCTAACGTCTAACTGGCGACCACTCAATATTTATTTTAAGGATCAATCAAGAAATAAGAAAAGGAAACTTATTGAAATAATTTATGCTAAGAATTCTATATTGCACCAAAAATATAATATTGAATAAAGCCAATAATAATAAAAGAATATCTTTAAGTCATGATATATGTTTGTATTTAAAACAGAACTGTAGCAAGCGTTCCTTAAGAAAGATCATTCTATATTCACTAGATTTGGGGTGAATAAATTTATCAGAATGAGTTTTGTGGAGATTTTAGTAATTTTGTAGTTGAATTCATGAGTCAACTGAAACTAGACATTAGAACCTCTGAATGCCGGCTAAGTCTTCTAGGGGTTAAGCGTTCGCGTGCAAGACTGATAGGTCCTGGGTTCGAAACTCGGGAGGCGCGATTGTGGATATGCACAGCTGAGGAGTCCCACAGTAGGATGAAACGCCTGTCCAATGCTTTCAGATTTTCCATGGTGATCCAACTTCAATTAACTCATGAATTTAAATGCAAATAAATTTATTCAGTTAAATATGGAAGCGTTTAATAATTACAAATGAATTATTCTAAATATATCAGTTGGGCAACATAAATATACAATAAGCATTTCAATATACAATGATGAACAAACAACCTAAAAAAACTCAATAATTTATACTCATGATATTATGCCGGTATAGATGTATTCAATCTTTTAAATTCTAGAATATTCTATAATTTTTTCATCAAAGTAACAAATGGAGAGATACATTCTTAATGATAATAATAACAACAACAACAAACATTGTACTCGTTTCTCATAAGCTATAGTGACTAATAAAATGTAATCATATATGAATAGTATTTGATTATAAATGTTTAGTTATGAAAGCATATTTTTGTTATTGGAAAGAATCAGTTGTTTATTAACATATTGTATACTGTAAAAGATGATATGCCAATTAAATAAGTCATGTCAACTAGACTATTTATCAATTTTGTCTTTTTTTTTGTTTTTCAACTGATACCATGGAAATTTGTGATTATTTTTAGAATTAGGTGTTTTTCATTTATTTGTTAAGATAGTTTCATTAGAATTTTCAAAATTGTCATTGATTTAAACTCAATGAAAATATTTATTGTAAGAAAATCTTTTTGACTATGACTTAGTGATAAAAGTTTTAAATTTCCTATTGTTGATACTAAGGACTAAATGATCAAGTTAGTGGTTATATATGGTGTTTCAGGCGAAAGATATTGAGTTCGAGTATCTGTGTGACTAGAAATACTCTGATGCAGAAGTATCGAGTTGATGAATCCTGAATAGGAAGAAACATGTGTCAGACACTAATTGACTATGCTTAAACATCCGAACTTTAAGTTGTAACAAGACAAAAACTGACATTGAATTGCTTTATATTTCCAATTTAATATAAATTCCTTACTCCTTTTTCGGGTTATAGGATAACTAGTTTTATACTATAATTGTTTAGATTCATGTAATCAAAACAAATAATACAATACAGTTTACTTTTATTTTCATTGACGGCAAGACTATAATTTATGGATGAACCAATCAGCTTTAATAAAAGAGGTCTTGGTTTATGGCGCAAAATAACGTCTTGATATTTCAGCTGATGTCAGTTCAGGATGAAAACCTTAAATCTAATTTCTAAACCTAACCATCAACTATAAATCATAATTCTAATTCTTCACACTGGTTTATAACCTACATTTAATTTTAGTAAGTAGGTGGACATTCTCAAGGTCGTCCATAAATTATAGTTTCACTTATAAAGGTAGTTAGCAATAAACATAATTACTGATAAAAAAAGAAGCTCTTCATCAAAAAGTAATAATTTCATTATATGGAATGTCAGTCTGAAACATACCTTGAAACTTTATTGAACGATATATATAATGAAATGAATATTTTGAATTCTACCATTTATGAGATAGATTTCATAGGTAGATATACTTGTTCATGTTTTATGTTACCAACGTTTATGTTTCGAGTAATGTAGAGGTTACAATCCCAAAAGATAATTTGCATTTTTTAAATACAATTCAAATTATCAGTACTTTTTTTTACTAAAGTATTTCTTTTCAACTGACATAATTATAAGGAAATTTCTGTTACTAATGGGAAACATTTCATATTCTCTTTGTTAACGAGTAATGAATCAATTCTCGGAATTTATATAAAGTGTAGTCAAGTGATAGAGAATGTATGGAAAATGAATCCTTAAAAAAATAAATAACTGGATAGGAAACATTTGAGTTCTAGGAAAATCGACCAACTTAAATATAAAAAAAAACTGTTACATAAAAATAAATATTATTACTTTGATAATAATTTTCATTGGATACAATTAAAAGAAACATTGAACCGATAGTAATTAGTTTTAGATATTATGTAAGTTATAGTTTAAGGTAAAAAAACTCATATATGAGTGGTTGCTAAAACATGATGATATACTTCATTTACGATGTAGAGATTCATTTACTTAGCTTTAATAACCGTTCTTTAGGTATGATTGGACTAGTGATATCGTTTGAATTCTCCAAACACATGCACGCCCGAATGGTTGAAAGACAACTATTTTACTCTTTAAGACATCACTAAAGATGAGAACATACTTTTTTTATCTATAGTTCTCATGTTTGAGGTAATTAACATAATTTTTTGCTTTAATGGTAGGGAATTCATTTTTGTAACAAAGAATATTTTCACCCAAATACACAAGCTAATGGATATTTGGACTTGGAAGCTAAATGAAGGGTAATAGGCTGGAGTTCTGAAGTGAAAATCTACACTGTGATGCAGGTAAATTCAGCTGACAAGTTCCGTATGGAACGAAACGCGCATCTTGGATTTCACGGCTAGACTCCATCGATCCCTGCCTAAAAAGAAGTGTCTTCTTCTAGTGCTCAGAGTGAATAAGTTTAAAAATATAATCATATTGGTTGTTGGAAAACTTTAATTTTATTCAGTAAGATATCAATAAAAGGAAGGCTTATTCAAAATTTATACCTCAATTGCCTATATACACATAAACAAGCTTATGTGTATCATTTATCGTCATTTAAATTAATTTTATGGAAAGTTAAAATGACATTCATCTTCTTCCCTATTTCTTCACATTCATTACTGAAGATATGGACATTTTACATTCTTTACTTCATGGAAGAATAATTTTATGTTTGTATTGATCGCATTTTTCGGAAAAAAAAGTAGCTAGATCGGTACTGATGTAGTAAATTTCTATCACATAACAGACAATATTTGGACTGCTAATAAAAAATGAAGGTAGAAATTTTATTTGACATTTATGTATACATATGTCTGATATAAAAATATTCAGTAGTATTTATAATTGATTATCCTGATATAGAGATATAATCTAGTTTCTTACATATGTATCATTTACAAGATCCGGTCAAAGATTTCTAAAGGTTCATATCTTCAATGATGGTGGATTGTAAACATTTTGGTCATGCACAGTCTATTTCTAAAGCTATGTGTACAAAAAATAACTGACTTTAAGACTTGGGCTTCAACAAAATTTTCTATTACGTTTAGAAAAATATTTCTTCGAAATTATGGACATTATCACCATGTTGATGATTAGTGCAGAATTCTGATCGATTTCGATTAGCAGTGTTACATTATAAGCCATGTGGATAACGCTATAGTTTTAGGTATAAATGTTAACGTAGAGATGCAGCTATATCCAGATGATGAGTTCAATATAGGAGGAAATGCGCGTATTATACTTCATTGTATGTCGCAATCTATTTATATCTAGAATGTTTCTGTTTTTATCATTTTTTCTACTAATACGGAAAAATAGTTCTATTCAAGAATTCTCTGATTATCTTTGAAATTACATGCTGTCCACTTTTGTGATTAAAACGTTCTTGAATTTCATAAATCACCTTACTTTATAACTACTTAATTTAAAATATATAGTTGACTTTTCCCTTAAAACCAACTATAATAATATCATTACAAACATGAAGTTTAACTAAAGCAAAATAATGAGCACAGGATAAATACTTCATCAAACTATTGGACTCCTCAGCAGTGAGCATTCATGGCCCCACCAGGTACTCAATCCTGAACATTTAAAACTTTGTGCAAATGCTTACTCATAGAAAACACTTAGTTTGCTCCCGGTGATACAATTCTCACTTCAATCAATTTACGATGAAACAACAGTTTAGTGAATACTG